TTTCCCTTGCCTCTAAAAGTTGCCATGGCCAAAGTTAAAGAGGTTCTCTTGTTCTGTATTCTCCTCTAGGATTTTGATGCTGTCCTCTCTCACATTCAGGTCTTTCATCCATTTTGAGTTTATTTTTGGGAATGGTGTAAGAAAGTGGTCCAGTTTCATTCTTCTGCATGAGATGTCCAATTTTCTCAACACCATTTGTTGAGGTGATTTTTTTTTTCCATTGGATATTCTTTCCTCCTTTGTCAAAGATTAGTTGACCATATAGTTGTGTGTCCATTTCTGGGGCTTTTATTCTGTTCCACTGATCTATGTGTCTGTTTTGGGTCCAGTACCATACTGTCTTGATGATTACAGCCTTATAATTCACCTTGAAGACCAGAAATGCGATGCCTCCAGCTTTGGTATTCTTTTCAACATTGCTTTGGCTATTTGGGGTCTTTTGTGGTTCCATACACATTTTGGAATTGTTTGTTCCAGCTCTGTGAAAAATGCTGATGGTAATTTGATAGGGATTGCATTGAGTGTATAGATTGCTTTGAGTAGCATAGACATTTTAACAGTATTTGTTCTTCTAATCTATGAGCATGCAATATTTTTTGATTCCTTTGCGTCTTCCTCAATTTATTTCGTAAGTGTTCTATAGTTTTTAGAGTACAGATCTTTTACTGCTTTGGTTAGGTTTATTCCTAGGTATCTTAATGGTTTTGGGTGCAATTGTAAACAGGACTGATTCCTTGATTTCTCTATCTGCTGCTTCATTGTTAGTTTATAGAAATGCAACAGACTTCTGTGCATTGGTTTTATATCTTGTAACTTTGCTGGGTTAGTGATCAGTTCTAGCAATTGTTTTGTGGAGTCTTTTGGGTTTTCTACATACAGCATCAAGTCATCTGTGAAGAGTGAAAGTTTGTCTTGTTCTTTTCTGATTTGGATGCCTTCAAATTCTTTTTATTGTCTGATTACCGAGGCTAGGACTTACTATGCTGAACAACAGTGGTGAGAGTGGACATTCCTGTTGTGTTCCTGACCTTAGGGGAAAAGCTTAGTTTTTCTCCATGGAGGATGATATTCCCTGTGGGTCTTTTCATATATGGCTTTTATGATGTTGAGGTATGTTCCCTCTATCCCTACATTGTGGAGAGTTTTTTTCAAGAAAAGATGCTATATTTTGTCAAATGTCTTTTCTGCATCTATCGAGAGGATCATATGGTTGTTATCCTTTCTTTTATTAATGTGGTATATCATGTTGATTGATATGTGGATATTGAACCACCCCTGCAGCCCAGGAATAAATCCTACTTGGTTGTAGTGAATAATCCTTTTAATGTACTGTTGGATCCTATTAGCTACATGCTCCCATTTTAGATAAAGGGTCATTGTTCACAATCTCCAAAGGACTCTGAAAAAATGTTTTCAGCTATGTAAAGAAAGGCTCCATATAAATGTATTGTTGAAGCATGGACAACTAGATTCTTCCAGATGGCTACTAAAAGTCATACTTCTTATTGGATAACCAAAAGTACTCTAGGCATAGTTGAGAACACTATGCTGTATTCTAAAACAAACATTAAAAAAGAAAAAAATTAAATGGGCTCCATGCCCAGCTTGAACTGTAGAGCTTGAACTCACAACCCCGAGATCAAGACATGAGCTAAGGTCAACAGTCAGATGCTTAACTGAATGAGCCACCCAGGCTCCCCAAAGCAAAATATTCTTTAAAGGGACTGTCCTTCTCTTCTGGTTTTCACAAGTGTGGTTGTCATACACTCAGAAAATGCCGGACAATATGTAATGTGATCTGCATCTTTACCTTCTTTCTGGCTTATGTTGCCTTAGTTGACCTTTTAAATTCTTTATTTCTTGACAAACAGATTTAAAACTTTAGATCCTGAGTAAAGTAGAACATGGCAGAATTCATGCAGAAAATCAAAGCTGAGTCTAGAACTTCTTTTTTGAAGAAAAATACTGCACTGCACATGGTGAACTCCCCTGATGCTTCCTATACTCTGATGGGGGTCAGTAGGTGCAGTGTAGAACTTGAACTGATGTGGGAGGGGTGTTACTCACATGTTTGATTTGTTGTGAAATGGACGAGGATCAGGTTTGTGTGAGAGACATATTATATATATTGGGGTTGGCCTATGTTAGGAAGGGCATAGTTTTGATTTAACTTTTATTCTTATGACCTTGAGAGTAAATCTGAAGTAATGTCATGTAGGTGAGAAGGCTCTAATTCAAAATCAAGTGGTTAGGGTTCAAGTCTCATTTTCATCTCTAATTGGTCATAAGATTGTGAGCAAGATACCCAATCTCTCCATGTCTCCCTTATTCTGGCTCTCTCTCTTTTCAATTTGCAGAAAGAGACTAATAATACCTATTCTACCTTGCCCTGGATCTGAGTTTCAAAACATTGCTCATAAAAAGTCTTAGAAAGGTTAGAATGACTTTTGAGTTGAACGATCTAATATTCCATTATATAACCACATAACATTGCAATTTCCTCATTTTCAAGCTAAGAAGATAGCTTCTTAGTGGAAAATCCAATGTTCTATCCACCATGTCAGGGAATATCACCAATATTATTAATTTGTAATTAAGATGGCATTAAAAATAGAAGTAAACCAATCTCTTTTTTTGTACACATTCACTTCAATGTAAAAAACATACAAAACAGAACTCTAGGCAAATCTATAGAAGGAAGTCTACTTTGTCCCAAGATGAATGCAACCCTTGAGGTCAAGCTGCTGAACTGTTAACAGTGAGTGACTGATGTCTGGCAGATGACATGGACGCTCAGTGTGGAAGATAATGGGTGTCATTCTCTGGATTATAATCATACATAGTAGTACATGTCCTGAAAATTTGGCATTATGGTCTTTTTGATGATGGGAATGAACTCATTGGCATTCTCCTGAATTAAATTAATGATATCAACTCCCTTAATGTGATGAGGTTATTGTTTTCCCTCTAGAGGTTTTAGAACAAGGCCAGATAGCAAATATTTTAGGTTTTGTGGGCCATGTGATTTCTGTAGAAACAACTTAACTTTGCCATTGCAATGCAAAAACAGACAAGACAATATGAAACAAAGGTGTGTTTCAACTTTATTTGAACTAGATTTTGTTCAAAGGCCATAGTTTTCTGACTCCCTGTTTTAGAATATCATGAAGATATTATCAAATTCTGGGCCTCCTCACATCTCTTGGCCATACATACTGTATTGTTGGTCTCAATTCAGCACAGTTCTAATCCTACATTTAAGCAAACATAGAAGGTGCCAAACCCTGGAGAAACCATCAAGTCAGGTGGCCATTTGGGCAGACACTTCATATCCCAACATCAAAACTTCACACCTTTCTCAAAATGATCTTTGTAAAATAGAGCATTGTTTAAAATATAATACTTAAGTTTTTAAAAAATAAGCCAGAGTATTTATTCTCCAGAGTAAAACTGATGTTTTGAAGGGAAGGAAGGAAAAGTGCTTTCCAGCTCCTAGAAATGAGTTGCTAAAGTGCAACCCAGTGCTGACATCCTATTTATAAGTGATCAAACTTGCTTTATGTTTTCCCTTAACAGAAGTCAACTCATTTCCTAAGTTCATTGCTGTTCAAGTCAAAGATCACCTACCAGTTCAATTTATCCTCCTTAGGACTCTTCCTGTCATTCTAGCATTTCTGGAAATGGAGGGAAGCACTGTCAGAAGCCTACAGAAGGGCGATTTTAAACTCTGGATTTCCATTTTTTTCATACTTGATTAAATAGCTCATTCTCAACCTCAGAACTACCAACACTTTACTGTGTAGAACAGGCTAGAATGCAATGGAAGGTGAAACAAGCTGTTAACTCCTAGTACTACTTCTGAAAATATGGATTTTGAGACACTTGGGTGGGTTCAAAGTGGAGTCTCCTCTTGCCTTCAGAAATTCCTGCACCACTTCAAGGTTTAGAAATGCTTTTGTCCTTGGCCAAGTTATATAAATCTTTGAGGGCCTCAAAAGTTGCCCTTTTGAGGGCAACTCAAAGCCTCAGTTTCTCCATCTAAAAATGTTTTAATATCTGCTTCATAGAATTGATCTATAGTGAGTGGCAAATAGTAGATATTTAATAAGTGATAGTTTCCTCAGTTTTTCCATATCCCCCCCGTATGCTCCCAATTATATTTACTTGCTCTATTCTGAGAGTATTTCTTTGTTTATTGTACTCTCTCTCATATATTCCCATGAACTGCCCCCGAGTGTAATGTAAATGTATTCATACATAGAAGGCACGTAAGGAATAAGTTCCATGAGTAAGGCAAGACCGATGGTAGGAAAATTGGACAGAAAGAAATCACAATTCCCAGAGTAGTTCAAGGTCAGAAAATTCATTTGGTTTATTTTCTTTTGAAAAAGGAGCCTTCAGGTGTGATTTAAACAGGTAGAACATAAGCTTCTTGAGAGCAGAGAACGTGTCAGTTACATGTGTTTAGAACTGCTCTTGGCATGAGGTGAGTATGCAATTAATACCTGTTTTCTCAAGTAGTAACTGAGCATACTTAGGTATGATTCACTTTTGTATTAACTATGGGAAGTTCCTAGAGTTCTGCATAGGAAAAGAAAGGGATTCTAAGGAGAAGTCTTACAATTGGACAAAGATGGCCCCATTTATACACTATTTATCTTAAAGTACACAATTTGTGAAATGACTGTGCAAATCGCTTGATATGGAAATTCATCTAGAATAGGTTGGGGGAAAGTTGAATACCTATTCTAGGCCAGTTTTGGGCAGATACTGTATTTTCCAAAAAAAAATCCCTTTAGTTTCATTTTCCTTTTGGAAAGAAATCCCACTATTGCTCAGAACTTAGAATATCCGCATGGTACTAGGCACCATGGGGTAAAGAGTAGTAGATACAATGGGGTAAGAAGAGCAGGAGATCCCCCTGTTTCCTGAGGCTGCTTTCCATGTGCTGTAAAAGTGTGAGACAACAGGAGCACTAGCGCATAACATAGTTCACATACCTGAAAACATCATCATGTGCTGAAAATTCCAGGGGATCTTCTGTTTCCGGCCCAGATTCAGGAGGAAGGAGAGGGGATATATGTTGCAGGCTCTGGCAACAAAAATTGCAAGCTATAGATAAGCACAGGAAAACATTGAGGAAAATCTCCTTGCAATGAGGCTGTGAGTCCTCGAGCTTTATTATGTTCTTAAGCTTCTCTGTTTTATGGCCCAGAAAACAGGGATAAATATGTCAATACCTGTGTGTCCAACTTCGCTTCCAAAATTCATCCTTAAATGTCAATTCTTTTCCAGAAATAGCAGAGAACTCTGCTTTTCTTTGAATATCTACTTGGTTTAGAATTGTTAATCCTGTACCATTTCAATCACTGTAAATCTTCTCATCACATTTATGTTGCTGATGCCTGACTCTTCACTCAACTCTGCTGCAAAATGTGAGGCAGAGACCATTCAGAGGCTGGGGCATTATTTTCTCAAGCAGCACTTTAGAAAGGGTAAATGTATTTCTGCTTATAATAGCCATCTTACTTTCTATCAGGTTGTACTCTCTGTATCTGGGAAACTTCACTTACTTTTTTTCTCTTAGTGGATTTAATTTGACAGGAATTACCTGTCTAAATGTATAATATAACTCCTCTAGGAAATATTTTGCTAACGTTCAGTATTTACAGGTTAAATTCTACAAAAATACTGGTAGTAGTCATCTTTTCCCTTTCGTCACCCAGGACTCCTTCCCTGAGAGTCTTTAGATTCTTTTTTGTCCTCAGATGGGATGGAATTACGTGGGAAAAGGGAGCTTCCATTTAAGATGTAGGTTTTAGATGAGATTGGAGTGTTAAGTTGAACGTTCACTGAAAAGAGGACAGAAGGCAAAAGTAGGTGCTTATTAGAACAGGGCTTACAGAAGAGGGGTCAGCTCTCCTGGCTGTCAGGATCACATGCCCGTGATCTGATGGGGCATCTGCCCATTTTCCAAAGGACAACAGTTGCTGACTGTCCTTGGGGACATCCCTAGCAGCTCAGTATCCCGTCAAGTAGACATCTGTTCTTATTGGGGAATGCTTACACACCAGGCCTAGAGCTACAAAAGTCCTTTGCATTAAAAAGGAGGTCTGGTTTAAAAAAAAAAATAGGAGGTGTAGAGTTTATCTTATTTTACTTATAGGAAAGGGTGATCTTATTAAAATAAACTCACATGTACACAAACGTAAGACATTGAATCACATCTATAATGTTAATTTCATCTACTCTTTACTTTGTATCCTATTTTCAAAGTCCTCACTGGAAAAGAGATTTTACCAACTTGTGATGAAAATATTTCTGAAGCTTAATAATCCTGGCTGTATTCGGTTATACTCTAATGCAGATTAAGTATATTTCTCTGAAATTAATGGATTGATATATTTTTATCTAAATGATTCATAATTTAAAAACATACTTTGAATATTCAAGAAATAAATATATTTTGAATATTTATTTTTTGAGTATTCTATTCTTCAGTTTTCTCTCTTTATTTCTCTCAGTATTTCCCAAATTTCTTATCTTGAAATGGAAGCATTTAATAAAGGTCCCAATTCTTAGGATCTTTTCCCTCCTACTAGAAATTACATATCTGCCATGAATTTGAGCCTTGCAATAAACTTGAAGAAATTACTTAAACAATTTAACAGAGTAATCAGTAAGCGTAAGTAGTTTGCTCTTTTCCCTCATCACTCCATGTTCTGTATTTCAAAGGATACAAAGGCTCCAAGTATAAAAAGAGCATTAAAGATATGATTCTGGAACGTGAACAGCGCCAGGCCCATGTAACAGAAGATGACATTCTCGCCCAAGAAGTTCATAAATTCAAACAACTGAAAACAAAACAGAAACCAAAACCATTAATTATGACTCAGGTGTGAATTCACTTAATATCTTGTAACTGTTTTGGTAAGTGGATGTTTCTCTTGTGCCTGGGAAGGCCTTGTGCTCCACTTCTGGAGGGGTATAGGACCTCTGACTACCCTGTCAGGCCCTCTGACTCTACCCTTGCTCTCTACCCAGTGACAGATGTGGAAGTCACGTTAACATCCCATCTTCCTTTCCAAATGCAAGGCTGCTAGAAATACACCTGGGTGTATTAGTCAGCATCATCCTCCATGGAACAATTCCTACTAGGATGATAGAATATCCTTGTTATAGAAATCTGCATGATTGCTTAAGGTGTACCATAGGAAAGGATGCAAAGATCGTTTAGTTTCTTCTGATATCACTCAGTAGATGTCCTTGAGTTCCTAGGCCCTGAAAACTTCAAAAAAAGTTTTAGCTAAATTACCTTCCTCAGGCAGGCAGGAGAGACAAACTTGGAAAACTTGGAAACTTGGACTAAGAATGAATGTCAATTATATTTCAACATTAGAATGATCAGTATATTTCAAACCCCAGACAATGAGACTCATTAAATTGACTGATGTACGTATATCCATTAAATGTCTACAATTTCTAGCTGGTAAAAGGAAAATGATTAATCCCAGGGATCAGTTTATGCAATGAGAACACAATAGATACATCAAATGCAGTCAGAGGAATAGAGTAATAACACGCTATGCAGAGAGAAGTTCCCAAGAGTTATTCTTAGATCATTAACTAAACAATTTAAGTTCAGCATGACAAACGTTCTCTAACTTCCAGATTAGAAGTAAAAGGGAAATGTGTCCAGAGGCTACAACAAACACACATTTGGAAGAGACTTTATGTTCCAGAATTTTCATTTGGAAGCTTGTGAAACTTCTGAAACTTCATTCTCAACCTTACATAAATCACCATGTTAGGTAAACGTCTCTGGAAGCATTTCTCTTGACTTTTTAAGGACTCATTATTTTTTCACCTAATGTATTTACAGCCTCACAAATAATGCCCAATACCTGCTTACCGATAGTTGACAGAAAGAAAAGCAGAATCTTGTCAGAAACATTATTTAAAGCCAGTAATAGAAACAAAGGATTAAAAAAGACACACTCCTGTGGTACAAGATGGTCTTTCTGCAGTGGCAGTCATCATTAACTATCCTGAGGACTTGTTTCACATTCTAGATCAGCTCATCTTAACAAACACTGTCACCCAAATAACCACAAAAACTTGAAAACCTGGGAGAAAATACAGGGACTGGGGAACTCTTTGCTACCTCCTCATATCTGTACTTTTTCAGAAAGTGAGATTTGGCTACTGTCTTAATCTGCTCTGCCTGCCATAGCAAAATACTATAGACTGGCTGGTTAAAACAACAGAGATTTATTTCTTATAGTTCTGGAAGCTGAGAAGTCCAAGTTCAAAAGGTCAAGTCAGCCAATTAGGTTTTGATGAGAATCCTCTTCCTGGTTTGCAAATAGCAGCCTGCTTGCTGAATCCTCACATGGCAGAGAGATCTCTCTCATATCTCTTCTTTTTTTTTTTTTACATTTATTTATTTATTTTTTATTTTTTATAAACATATATTTTTATCCCTAGGGGTACAGGTCTGTGAATCGCCAGGTTACACACTTCACAGCACTCACCATAGCACAAACCCTCCCCAATGTCCATAACCCCACCCCCCTCTCCCAAACCCCCCTCCCCCCAGCAACCCTGAGTTTGTTTTGTGAGATCAAGAGTCACTTATGGTTTGTCTCCCTCCCAATCCCATCTTGTTTCATTTATTCTTCTCCTACCTCCTTCACCCCCCATGTTGCATCTCCACTTCCTCATATCAGGGAGATCATATGATAGTTGTCTTTCTCTTATTGACTTATTTCGCTAAGCATGATACCCTTTAGTTCCATCCACGTCGTCGCAAATGGCAAGATTTCATTTCTTTTGATGGCTGCATAGTATTCCATTGTGTATATATACATCACATCTTCTTTATCCATTCATCTGTTGATGGACATCTAGGCTCTTTCCATAGCTTGGCTATTGTGGACATTGCTGCTATAAACATTTGGGTGCACGTGCCCCTTCGGATCACTACGTTTGTATCTTTAGGGTAAATACCCAGTAGTGCAATTGCTGGGTTATAGGGTAGTTCTATTTTCAACATTTTGAGGAACCTCCATGCTGTTTTCCAGAGTGGTTGCACCAGCTTGCATTCCCACCAACAGTGTAGGAGGGTTCCCCTTTCTCGGCATCCTCGCCAGCATCTGTCATTTCCTGACTTGTTAATTTTAGCCATTCTGACTGGTGTGAGGTGATATCTCATTGTGGTTTTGATTTGTATTTCCCTGATGCCAAGTGATATGGAGCACTTTTTCATGTGTCTGTTGGCCTCTCATATCTCTTCTTATAAGGGCACTAATCTCATTCATGAAGGCTCCACCCTCATTACCTAATCAGCTCCCCGAAGCCCCACCTTTAACATACCACCACATAGGAGATTAGGACTTCAACATATGAAATTGGTTGGGGGAAGGGCAAACATTAAGCTATGGTGCAGCTATCCAGTTTTAAACATTAACGAACACATGCAAGATTAAATTCATAGAGCTTCTTCTCCGATCCCTTCCCAAGTACTGGAGAGGGGACATCTTGCCATCTAGGATCTATTTAGCTCCTTCTTGGTGGTCACACTCCAATTTCCTTCTGGGGTCCACCTTCTTCCCTACTCTCAGCTCACATGTTTAAACCTCCACAGTTCAGATATGGGGTATATGATTTAGGACTAAACCACTCAAATCAATGTATTTCTTTAGCTAGCATCTTTGGTTCAGAAGTGGGTGTGGTGCATTCAGAGCCAAAGAAATACAATGAGACCTGGCAGGAAATGCCAGGACAACCCCCACCCCCCCAGCTTTTCATGGTGTGAGAAAGTAGGATGCAGGCTAGGGAGCTGTGGCTAGCCATCTCATGCTCCTAGGGGAAACAGCTGTCTAAAAGAGAAGCCATGTCCTGACCACACCACTTAAATCTGTATTCAGCCTCTCCCGAAGCAAAATCTACCCTTGAAAAAAACAACAACAAAAAAACCCCACTTTTTTTGTTCTAAGTGAGGTTTCTATTACTTAAAATGATACATATTCCTTCACAGTCCTGTACCAGTTTAACAACAAAAAAACCCAAAACACCTCTCTGACTTAATATGGGTTATCAAAAAGGGTAGGTGATCAACTTTTGGACTTTTTTCAAATAGCAGCAAAGTCAGTTACCCCTGCCCCCCCCCCCCCCTACTGCCCCCCCCCCCCCCCCATTTCAATCTATTCCTCACATTAAGGGGAATTTTTTTTTTTCCTTTTCTGTTGGTTGTTGAGATGTGATGGAATTTGTTCTATACATTTTACATGGAGACCCATGGTATGAAATATTTGTTTAGAATTTGCTTCCTTTGGAAAACCCAGGATTTTAACTTGTAGTCACTTGGTTTATTGAAATCTAGCACTGGCTAGAATTATAAGTAACTGTTTATATACACACTGCACAGAAGTTCCATTTTCCAGATAGGTCCATTTGTAGACCATTTCTAGACCTGTTCTTGGTTTCCATTGTTACTTATTCCTCTACCAATACCATGTCTTTGTAAATAACGTAGATCCATAATACATTATAATAATCCATGGCTTTAGTTTGTTCACATACTCTACCTTCTGAGTCCTCCTGATTATGTTTGCATGTTAAAAAAATGGTTTTTATGCTTAGTCACTTAGAAAAATGTTTAAATCATATGTTTACAATTTCAGATTAAATAAGAGAATATTACCAGCACCAAGAATTACTCTTGTTCCCCTTCCCACTTATACTTCCACACCCCAATACACTGCTATTAGCACTTCAAATGCTTTTTCTTTACCTATTAAGATGAACATATAGTAGCTTGTTCTTTCATTGTTTTAAGGTAGTTAATTACATTAACTGATTTCCAAATGCTGAAACAATCTTGCGTTTCTGCAATAAACCCTACTTGGTCATGATGCATTATCCTTTTTTTATACATCACTAGAATTAATTTGCTAATATTAAGATTTTTTGTGTATATGTCACAAAAGACTATCTTATAATGCTCCTTTCTTGCATAGTCTTTACCGGATTGTATTATCAAAGTTGCTGATGATTGATAAAACAGGTTCCTGTTGTCTTCCTTTAAAAACTTCTAAGAATTCTGGGCTTGGAGTTTTCTTTGCTGGAAGACATTTAACTACAGATACAAGTAATAGATACAGGATTATTTAGATTTTCTATTTATTTTTGTATTAGTTATAGTAAGTTGTGTTCACTGTATCTAAATTTTCACATTTACTGGCATAGAGTTGTTTGTAATATCTTCAATATCTTAGTCTGTAGTTATGTCTTTCCCCCAATACTGATAATTTGTGTCTTTTCTTCCTTATAAATCTTGTTAGAGAGTTATCAGTTTTATGAGTGCTTCCAAGAAGCAAATTCAGTTTTGTTGATTTTTCTGTATTCTGCTTTCTCCTCACCATTTCATTAATTTCTCTATTATTTTTATTATTTCTCATATTCAACATACTTTAGTTTAATTTGTTTTTATTTGATATCTTGGCCCTTCAAGTCCTAGATGATGTGGTTACTTGTCAATTCTTTTGAACATCTGCTTTTCTGCTTTCTTTATCCAACTTTTCTGGTTGCTTTCTAAAGCAAAGCTGTTCTTGCATGTTAATTTTTTTTAGGTGAATAATATCATTTTTGTCAATTTCCTGCCCAGAGTCTTATGATATTTTATTTTGTAACACACAGAATATATGAATATCAATTTAGAGAGAATGACAATTTTATAATATCATTGGGAGAAAATATAGAGTGTTGAGAAAGATTGAAGAAAAATTTGACTGATTTGGAAAAAATAACCAAAACTAAAGAGAGATTCTTAACTCCCTTATTTTATTTTATT